TGATAAGCTGTCAAATCACTGGCCAACCGGCGGCTCAGGACGAGGGAAAGCCACTAAGAGGTCTACAAGGACACTAGCGGGATGACAAGCATCTACAACGATGGCTATCGCGCCATTTATCAACGTCGATACAAAAGCTGCTGCGCTCACGTCTGCGGACAGTTCTACGCGCCATTGTTGAGGAAGAGACCATGATGATGGTGATGATACTACGGCTGCTCCCTTTATAACGGGCGGGCTCGATTAATCGTGCCCAAGCTGAGTAGTATTGGCTCTCTCACTTGTTGTCGAGAAGCCCAGCGCTGTCGCAAGAGGCGGGGACACCGTGTGGTCGGTTCGCCTTTTTGGTGGGAGAAGTGGCAGACTGCGATGGCAAGACCAACGAGACAGAGAATGGTCACCTTGATAAGGGATTGTTTCATTTTATCGCTCGCATCCATCCAGATCTTGTGGCCAGCTCTCATCGGGACAGCGTGAATGAGCAGTGACACAGCGATGGCAAGCACAAGACCCTTGATAACGGTTTCATTCTATCGCTCGCATCCATCCACCACAGCCAAAAATCCGGTGGATCAAGCAGCGCTCATCGCAGTCTTTGTTGGTTTGCTGTGACCCGCGCAGGAAATGCGGCCTGTTTCTGTGCGTGACTGCTTTAGCCGCGCACACTAACGAGTGCCGTGACGATGCACTTTGGCTCGATTGACTCTGTCGGATCGTAGGCCGCGGTCAGGCTTGATGCGGCGCAGGTCTTGTTTGGGCCCTTTCTTGACCCAATCAGAAAGAGGTCCCTCCAGGCTGAAAGTGAGGGACGGCTATGGTACAGCTCGCGGTGGTAATTCTCGTCCTTTCGAGCGCGTATTTATCCCCGTAAAAGGACCTTCACACACCTCGCAGATACAAATGCCTCGTCAACAAATGCAGCCTGGGCCCTTGCCCGACAGATCATGGGTACTGACACCGGCACAGAGTGCAAATGAACACCCAAATCAAGGACGAGGGTCGATGTCCAGGAAATCGTAAAGCACGCACCCTGCGTTCGGAACCGCCAGCTGTGCAAGCTTGCGCGATATTTTAGCCCGAAAACAAAAAAGATGTTAAAAAGAAGTGGTACGCTTCCGTGATGGCGACCTTCACAAAAACAACGCAAAAAAAAAAAAAAAAAAAAAAAAAAAAAAAAAAAAAACGGCACAGCAATAAAAGGATGACATCCTAAAAGGGAGGGGGAAACTGGACAATGATATCACTGCCCAGGAGTGGCCCCAGCTCCCAGCGTGCCCTTCCTTCTGAGAGACCCGCAAGTAGGTCAAGGTCATCGGAGCTACAGCAAAATGGTTGTTATCCTCCGTTCACCTCCAAGCTGGCACTGCAGTGGAAGCTACGCCCCAGTTTCCCATTCATGCATCTCTCTCACCGCGTGATAACGCTCCTGCCCATGCCCACAAGCAGAGCCGGGTCAGGTGATGAAATGGAGGCAGTTCATTGGTTGGGCAGGAATTTATCTACCACTGCAGTCTCAGCTTATGATTGGAGTATAATACAATTCTGGAAGTTGACTAAGTACAGCAGGTGGGAAACTGGATGTTGTTGCTTCACTGTGCTGGGATGACCCAGATTGAACTTTACAAGAGGTCGTTTTTCTGGCCATTGTGGATTCTGATGGGTCTCCCCAGGTACTAACAAGAGTACTTTTCTCTCTAGACCAGTGCAAAGAGATACTCTGGAAGGCTATGTGGACAGAGAGGGGGGATTCTAGAAACAGTGTGTGCCTTATTGTGCTGTTGGGAAAACCCTGTCAGTGTTTGGAGACATCTTTATTGAGTGTTTTCCTCAAAGAGTCTAAATGCTGAGAAACCTTCTCCAGGGCTTACAGCAGAGACGGATGGATGGATAATAACGGCTGTGCCTTTTATAACGGGTGGTAGACTGCACCACCTAGCCTGAATACAATGACGATAACCCGATTTCCCTTTTCAAGCCAATGCGTCTCTCTCTATCACCATGTCATGAAGATGATCGCTAGGCAGACCTTTGGGGGATTGGGCAAAAAAAACAGAAAACATCACCTCGCACTAATTTATCTCTGGTTGAACCTTGTGGGCGTCACCTGCACAAGACACACTCAGGGAGGGCAGGGATGAGACTTTGGGCCCAGAGCCAGACAGGACCCAGGTGAAAATGTGAAGTGGTATTTCAAGTGGTACCACTTGCAAACCAAGTGGTGCCACTTGGGCCTCAAGTGGTACCACTTGGGTTGCAAATGGTGCCATATGAGCTTCAAGTGGTACCGCTTGGTTGCAAATGGCACCAGTTTGCAAAATCACACATATCACTAATAAAATAAGTGAAAGCTGTTGCTCAATCTCAAAAAAAGTTTAAGGTGTCTTAAATATGTTGTTAGAAAAAGCCAAATTCAAATATTTTGACAAGATTTCACACGTGTATACAGTGTGATAGAGGTCTATGCATATTGATATGCCAATTTTTGCATGAGTACAATATTCTCAAAACACGCGAGGAGAAATCTTTCCTATGAGATTCACTAAGCCATTAGAAATTGCGGAAATCTTTTCCCGCAAAGAGTATACACTTCCTGGAGGTCTTTTCTTTAAATTGAAAATTTTGCAACAAGACGTTTCTAGAGCTCGAGCTCAAGAAACTCATACAGGGCATGGCGAGTCATGAGCGTCTCGTCATCCCTTCACAGCTAATGAGAATGCGACATTATCCGACACGACTGCTGGAGAACCACTCACGAACCAAGAAGATAACGAGTCACGCCCAGCGTTTCTTAAGCCACCATTTGCCACGTGTTCTGCGTGTACCCGTTGGGGGTGTTGTATCTTCATTGTGATATTTTCATATCTCCGGATACTTTGTCTTCTTTGCTGTGTGTTCATTCACTTACTTCTTCATCATCATCACAATTTTTGAATAAAGAGTCGCATGAGAGCAGCACAGGTGACTGGACGTTCCTTCCCGACCCGCCAGGTCCACCGAGGACTCCATATTCTTTTGATGACGGGATGGACAATCGATTCGGCATCAAACCTCCTCAAGGTGTTTTGAGTGAACCAGGGAAGTCGGAAATTCCCTGGCAGCGATGGATTTCACTCTTCGAAGCTTTCATGGGGGCATGTGGTGCTCACGCACTGCCCTCGGAATGTCGTCGATACCTGCTGGCCAATGCCTGGGAGTCGAGGGTCAACCAGTCTTCGACGCACTGCCTTCATCCCGCGGTGTCGCTGTGCCGTCGCCAGCAACGACGTCAGCGGCAGCCGCTTCTAGAACTCCGACGAGAGGGGTCTACCAATCGGAGGCTGTCAACACCCTCAGCATGCACTATAAAAAGTCGTGCAACGTGGACCTGGAGTGTCATCAATTCCGCCAGCGTTATCAACAGCCCGAAGAACCATTGTCGGATTATTAGACTACTCTACGAGACTTGGCTATTCCGGCCGTTCCGACCAGTCGGGGCACCACCATCGACTCTTATCAAGCAGAAAAAAAAATGAGGTAGACCAAACCAAACATCGTAGCCAAAGACATGGCGCCAGCGATTTGGGGTCTCGTGGGACTTGCCCGAACGACTTATGGGGGCAAGGTGGCACCGAAGGACAAACAAAAACAAAATGTGGTGGTCCGCAAGGAACTGAGTCCCTTCAAAGTTGGCCTCGTCATAGGTAAATGAGTTCAATCTGTACAATCATATGACTGTGTCCCCATGAGCTGTTATTAGATTAGTATTTTTCTGTTGTCTTTGAAGAAACAGTGCAACATAGGAGACACCAGAACAAGGTGCCTGTTCAGCAAGTCATCACTAACATGTCGACAGTCCTGCCACAAAAGATACAGGACTCCCGAAAAGCTCCGAGGCACCTGGGTTTTGAGGATATTCAATCTCCATCAGCCCAAGTACTTCTGGCAAGTGGTACCACTTGCAAGTGGTTTATTGAACAGGTACAATTTGCAAGTGGTACCACTTCCCAGTGGTACCTATTCAATAAACGAATTGCAAAAATTTTCACTTGGGGAGGGAGTCCCAATTTTCCTCTGTCCCCCAGCTGTGCTAGTGAGTTGTACTTAGATATCTGCAAAGTGATTGCCAACAGCCAGGGGAACCTCCCTTTATCCATCCAGACTTTGAAACTTGTGTACTTTGAAGATGGAGAGGCAATTACTAAGTTTTCAGAAAACTATTGCATTTGTTACGATCACTTCTTTCTCCTCAGGGTGACAGGGCCCAAGGCAAAAAGCCGTAGGTTTACAGTCTACCACTGCAATTTTATTAGAAGTGCAGTTGAGTTAGATACCGAAACTCCACCTGACAAAAACAATTTAAAAAAATATGAAATATTTTAAAATGAAAAAATAAAGAGGACATTTGGAAACCACGTTCGACGAGATACCGTAGTTACTCCGCATGCAACAGAGCTTTTAATGAGGTGGGATACACCTTGGAACCATTCACGTGGTGCACACACACTCAAGTGACAGAAGCCATCCACATGCTCCTTTCGGGTTCGCGCTACGTTCACGATCAGAGACTGACGACCCAAGACGATAACAAAGAAAAACTGGGCTGCAAAGATTCAAAAAGCAAACACAGAAATACGTCAAATGGACACGACCCCACCGCAAAAGGCCAGCGCGGCGGGCACAAGAACGCCGTGCCCGTGCGGCATGCACGCGCGATGTAGTACGTGCATCGTCCATTGCTGCTTTTCGTAATCCTGATGCTCGTGCAGCAATCGACCCACTTTTTTAATCCTGAGACTGTCCCACTCGGCTGTAAGGCGGGCATTTTCCCTAAATCATCCCGTCAAAACCGATGACAGGAGCGAACAAAACAGCCCGCCAGTCCCGCCAGAGGAGAGAGAGGGGAAAAAAAATAGGACGGAATTTTGTGTTGCGTTTTGGATCTCGAGTGAACGAACCACGACCTCTCCTGGTGTTGTTTTGGGTTCTTAAAAGCGAAAGAAGCGACTTGCGCTACGGCTTACCGGCGGGTTCTGTGGGTATGCATAGCTTGCACGCTGTGTGAAGACATGGAAGAAGTTGCGGTTCACTCGTTTCTGAAACGTCTTGCTTGCAAAACACACACTTGGTGTCCAGTCCGGCGTGTTCGGCAGGGCCGCCCGTCACCTGTTCCGTCGTCGTTTGAGCTCCGTCGTGGCTCTCCATCTCGGCATCTACACGCGAACTTCACGCCCCAATTTAGACGCATAAGAAACTTTGAAAGCTCTACGCCGAAAGTTCACATCAACCGACGTCGAACACATTCACCTGCACGAACGGCCAAGCGGCGGCAACCACCGAACTCGCCAACGAAACACTTGGAAAGGTAGCGCCATCTAGGTTTCAGAGGATACATAAGTGATGCGGTGGCCTATCAGGAAAGGCTGCTCAGCATTGAAAAATGTGATTGGTTAGGCAGTGATGTAGTGATGATAGTCCAACCAATCACGTAACGGCTTTTTTATCGTTGATTTGGTCTTTCAGCTGCGCGATAGGCAACTGTGAGCTTGATAAAAAAGAAAAGGCGCCAGGATTGTTGGCAAAGGAAATCCTTGGTGACGTGTAACGTTGTCCTTGCGCCGTTTTTGTAGGCATGATTTTCTTTTCTTTTTTGGTAACGTAGGCTCGAGCCTTTGGGGAAGAATGATCGACTAGAACTTTGGTGGAAACCCGCGGCTGAGGAACAAAGACGGGGACGACACACGTAAATGTCTCAAAGGTTTCAAAACTCAGCTTTGACGTTTATTTGCCGTTCCTGGGGACGTCAGTCAATCATAAGGCAGATCTCTGGAGTTTTTGTTGACCTCTGCTTTCTTGAACGCTAATAAATAAAATTAGTATAGTTAACCGCGCAGAAAAATTAGATATTATCGGCTAACCATTAGCCAAATATGATTACAGCACTGACAGCTTCAACGGCTTCAACGGCCTCAACAGTCAACCCATCCAACGACTGTCGCCGTTAGGCCATGCCGCCAAGCACGGAAGTAAATAAGACGCTCCGAACTTTCATCGAGCAACATTGGGATCAGGCAGCAGCCAGGAGCAGGCTTTGAAGTTTAAACTTTACGCGCCGTGAACCTGCAAGACGAAAAATGTGCACAAATCGCACGATCTTGCTACGTGATGGCATCAGCCAACGTTTATGATCACCGATAGTGTTACAAATAGTTCCCTTATCCGATGAAAATCACCGTACATCGCGAGAAGTGACCGAACCGTCAGTCGTTCTAGTTTCCACGCTCTTTTGAAGGTGGGTGAATTGAAAATACTGCTGCAATAGCAGAAGCAAAATTTGGGTGCTTGTGACCTCTTTATCTGTCATCTATGAATTTGCTTTCAAGGAGCGCGCTTGTTTGTTTCAGATGGCATCGTTTCGTCAGACCGAAGAACGTAATGTTTCCGGAGAGGTAGACTTGATGCTGTGGTCGCCCAAACTGGATCTGATAGCCCTGGCGTTGGTACAGGGCCAAGTAGCCCTGCACCGCCTTTCGCGTAAGAGAGTCTGGCTTCGCGCCCCACCCGGGGGCAAAGAACAGAACAAGGTCAAGAGCCTGGCTTGGAGACCAGACGGCAAAATTTTGGCCATCGCCTATGACACAGGTGCGAAATAAGTGCGCGACTATGGTGGCCAGTGACACCTCATGGGTGAAATGTGGCGTAAGTTTATCACGTAATAAACACAGCTCGAGTGTTTTTTGTTTTTTTTTGCTTGCTTGCTATGTAGTTTTATTAGGCCTATCCGTCACTGCTGGTTGACATGAAAAACAGCTTGCAGGGAAATCCGGTCACGGATGATGGTACCGCCTTTTGTGACCTGTTTTCCCAGTGGCGGATTTAAAGGGAGAGGCAGAATCGGACATGTACATGTAACTGCTTTTGTTTCATGGTTTACTGTCTTCTTTTCAGTAGTCGTTGCAGTTAAGCAATAGCTGCCTCCCGAAGTTTTCACCAGTTATGTTTCCCCGCTTCATTGAGAATAGATATCCAGCGACGCTGAAGAGTTGTTCTACTGACGCTAAGGTTGAAGCCTGGGCGAGTTGGTGTGACATACTTAAAAGGTTAAAACAGCGCAAAAGACAACGGACAGAGTAAAGAAGGACACCACATGGGTGTGTCCTTCTTTACCCTGTCCGTTGTCTTTTGCGCTGTTTTAACCTTTTAACCACTGACGCACTCTAATGAATGGCAGTGTTGTGCTTCAGGAAGAGCTGGCGAATCTGGAATTTCCCCCTCTCTCTTTTCTCTCTGCTTCAGAAGTTTCAAGTTGACAATAGGTTCTGTGCCTTCACACTTTAACGACCCCCTGGTTTACATTCGGTCTGTACACGATTCTATAGTCCGTTGCAACTCAGGAGCAAAGGGCGAGGGTAAGACGGGCCGGGTAGGAGGAAGCAGACAAAACGCTAAAGACAGAAGGAGGTTTCCCCCTCTCTTCTCCAGCGTTTCGTCTGCTTCCTCGTCCCCGGTCCGTCTTACCCTCGCCCTTCGTTCTTGAGTTGTAACGGACTATAGAAGGTTGAATCAACGAACCTTATTGTGTTCTCTGGGTGAAGGACATTCCCAGTTGTAGAGTTAGACTTACTTGCTCAGCGGTAAACATTGCTGTAGTATCAAACTGTTTACTAATGTATCGGGCTGCCCATCTGCCTTTGTCGCAATAGACGCATTCTGAGGTTAGAATTAATGCGAGGCGGTTGAAACATTGTTGTACGTGTTACCAGGGGCAAATTTATGGGTCAAGGCTGGGAGAGGCTGTAGGCATTCGGCTGGCCGGGGGTGGGGGGTTTGCTGAAGTATGACGGTATGGCCGAAACATTGCCCAGAATAAACAACTTTTAGCTGCTTTTTCAAAAAAGTTGACCTTGGGGAGCTGAGGGGAAGGGGGGGGGGGGGGGGGGCCGGTCGCTCCACTCCCCCTAAATCCGCCCCGGCACGTTACTCCTCAAAAGTAGTGAAATACCGTTACTCGTTACTTGGCCTTAAAAGTAATTAACTTTGTTACTAATTCCTTTTCTAAAAAAAGTAACTAAGTATGTTACTTGTTACTGAAAAAAGTAACTACTGTAAAATTCCGGGGAAGCACCCACCTTACTTGCACTGAAAACTGGCTTAATCTAGACATGGACGCTTGTCCGGTCAAATCGGACGCTTAAAGGGGCCCTACAACACTTTTTTACTGGTTTTTAATTTGCACTGAACTTGAGCGCACTGAACGTAGTAACTTAAATTACTTTTTGTTGTCTAGACTTTCGCTTTATTTTAAAAGTTATAGACCAAATTAAAATTGCAAAAACAAGCAAAAAATAACCTCCTCCGTGACGTCCTTGGTCCTGGCTTGAGTGGCCGTGAACTAGAGGAGGGGTAGTGAGCTCAGCGAGCGCTCACGGCTGCCCCACTCCGTGTCGACGGCTTCAGAGGGCGCCACTAAAGCATGTTCTCGCTAGGCTGTATGCAGCGGGCAGCCAGGGCGGCTCTCATTGCATTTGCTGCGCGATTAAACACTAATTCAGCATGACACTTCATTGGCCACAAACGACAGCAAACATGGGGTAAAGATCAGTCAGAACGGAAGCCACTTCGCGCTGCCATACCGCTAAACCTGCTCGCCGAAGCAGCCGAAGGTCTTCGGAACGCTCGGAACTGGTCGGATCCTCGAGCCCATACGACCGCAGAGCCACTGCATACATTCGGGACCTTTCTAAGCTCGCCGCTCGTTGGCACCAGATCCCTCTACCCCTTTCTAGTATGCATTGCCTTTTCCATTGCCTGGTGGTAAGTATGTCAATGGGTCATTTCTTGTTTCCGTACTTTCCAAACTGCATTTGTTTCTTTTCTGACCTAAAATGCTGAACAAAAACTACTTTCATATACAACTGAAACGGTTTGCGCCACTTATATTTTGTATTTTGACTAAAAAGAAGCTTTTAGCGGCTCTGACCAGTAGTAAGGCCAGGACCAAAAACGTCACAATGTCGTCACGTATCGCGCGCTTTTGGCACCGCAGGTCACCCTCGTAGGTGGAGGAGGTTTCTGCGTCGTCCGGCTAAAATATGACGCACTGATGTTTAGTTACTCTGTCCGTGCCCGCTGGCTTGCCCGAATCCCAAGAGATGTGGAAACTGCAAAAAAAGGTAGACGCTTAAATATGATTGCAAGGCCCCTTTAACGTATAATTTGTAGAGTTCCCAAGTTTGGGAAATGTTAGTAGTGGGTGCTTAAATAAAATGGGCTCTTCCACGGTATTTTATGGTAGGTAGAAGCAACTCGTTACATATATGTCTGGTCAGAGCATTTCATCCCGTCTTGACCATCAGCATAAAGTTGGAGTTCCAAGTTCGTTTACCACACCATTTCAATCTTCTTTTTTACCCCGCACAGCCGAGGAATGGAACCACCTCCCCGGTTTGATTGCTACTATAACTGATACTAACTTGTTTAGAAATTCCATCACTAGCTATTTTAGCAGTGACCCATGACCTATTATTATTATTATTCTTTGTTTGTTGTATATTTAATATTGTTGACTTGTTACTATATTACTATCTTTGTTTCATGTATGTGCTCTCCCCCTCTGTAATGCCTTCGGGCCCTGAGGGTACTTTCAATAAATAAATAAATAAATAACCGAACCCCCCCCCCCCCCCCTTGAATTCCTCATAGTTAAAAATGTAGGGTGGGGAAAGGGGGGCTGTTTTCTCAAACATCTGGTATGCTGATACCCCCCCTCTAGAAACACCTACATCTGCCCCTGGCTGCAACTGAGACATAGCAGAATTTAGACGGAATTTTAAAGGAGGGGTGCCAAACGTTTTTAGGCAAGGTGGCGCAAGCTACCACCCAAAGCAAAGGGTATAGCCAATATGTACCATCCATCTATCCATACCACCAGGGCACTTTCTTGTCTGCAGTTAGAGCTTGTTTTCTGGGAACAAGCTATGGTGCAACATCATCTGAATGAGTGTGTGACACGCCATCTCTTGCTTTTCCCAGGGACCATAATACTCTGCAACGTTGAGAACGCCGACATCATTCACACGATTGAGGTTGGGTCCTGCATCAGCACACTCACTTGGGCTTCAGACGACTCGTCCGCGACCAATGGCGAACCCAGATCGGACATCTACAAGGACGTTTCCAAGACCTACCTTCCCAACCTGCCGAGTCTGAACAAGACTTACAGTGCCTCTTCGGCCAACAAAAACACCGACGAAAATGTGGACGATTCAAAGATGTTGAAGTACCAGGACGACTTCAACGTGCTGGTGGCTGGGACTGTCAACGGACGAGTGCTCTTGTACGCGTATGGAGTTCTTCTGTGCGCAGAATTCGAAACTCAAGTAGCTGGCTATGTCAGAGACCACACTAAGCAAATTGTCTCTGCCCTTCTTTCCAACAGGCTGGGCAGACTAACTCTTGTGGTTGAATCAAAGCGCAGCATTGGAAAGTGTCTTTATTTGCAAAGTTACAATCTGGCAACCCTTCGGGACAAGTCACAAGAACTCCAGGTTGTGGCATTGAAGTACGGGCAGACTGCGTCACTCTTGGGCTATCTCACAGCCACGGTTGGTGCCATCAGGGAAGTCTGGGAAGACATCTTGCTTGAAATAGACTCCAAGTTGGTTAACTATGCTCAAGAGAAGCATCGCACGTCTAGTGGTACCGTTAGCGACGACTTGCTGGAGCTGTTGATGTTTGGGACGCCATCCGATGCACTAGAGAAATTCCTTCGCCACGATCTTACAGAGAAGGGACTCAAGAAACTGGGTCACTCCATCGACCTCTGCTACTGCAACATTCAGAATTATGTCCTGAAGCACCTGCAGACTGTCACCGAGGCACTGTACTTCCACTTCTGCGACCTCCGAGGCATGGCACGCTGGGAGGAGAGGTTCGGCACAATCGGGCTGTCCGAAGCCGCCGTCGCCAATGTGCTTCAGTGTACTGGTGCCTTCTTGATGAAGCTCATGGAACTGCTGCAAGTCATCGACTCGAGCATGAGGAACTTCAGAGCTTTCTTCCGCTGGCTGTACGCAGTCATCTTGAGGCTGTCCGACGATCCCGTGCCCGCGGGGGTTACGCACGCTACGCAGCAGGACATCAACTTCGTGGCGGAATTCCTCAAAGAAAACTTTGCAGTAGAGTGGGACGAAGCAAACCGGTCTTCGTTTAGTCTGGAGAGGGTTGGCCAGTACCTAAAAGATGAACCACTGACATTTCAGGTCCAGAACAATGTCTGGTGCCAGTTTCTAGAGGCCAACCCAGGAATCAAGAACAGCGGCCTTCTGGTTCCTCATAACCTGGACAGGTCGCTCGTCCAAGAGCACAGTCACCTCGAGAAGGCTGTTGGAGCGGCGTTTGTGGGTCCAGCCGACGCATTGGGCCGCTGCACTGTCAAGGAATTGCAGACGACGCTGGCAGCAACTCAGCATGAATGTCCGTCGGCCGTGTCTCACTCGGTGTCCACAAAGGGGCAATGCGTGTACACCTCGTTTGTTCCAAATCTTGGAACCGGAAGAGACATCTACATAGTCAGGCACCTGGTTTCCACGAACGAGTTGGGTGCAGCGCGGCTCTTCTTCGACCGCTTCCCCGACGCGCCGCCGGACGAGCCGAGGAAGCACATCGTTCTCGATGCGCAGTTTTACAACGAGGAAATATTGTCGGTCCTGCTCTCGGAAGAAAGCGCGGAAGGCACCCCGGGCAGGTCCACCTTGGTCCAGTTGCCCCTGAAAAACGTCCAGAGCCATTTCCTGCCAATGGCATTGGACGACGTGCTGACCGACTTGAACTTGTGTGCGGTGGACGCGGCCAGGTTTCTGGACAAGATGAACTTCAGGTGCCTGGAGAACATGCGGGCAGCTTCGTTTGCAGTCAGTGGGGCGAGGCACGTCGTCTGCGTGCTGTTCCAGTCCAGGCGGAGGGTCCGCACGTTTGAGATGGACGTCCAAGAGGAGGAAGGCGAGGACGAAGACAGTCTCTGTAGAGACAAGGACATGACGTACCTTCAGGACGAAGACAAGGAGAACAGCTTTTGATTCCCGTCCTGGAGCTCCAGGAGTGTGGGGGAAGGGTCTTTAATTGTGCAGATTTTGTGTTTCAAGTGCGACACAGTAAAAACTTCCGTGAACCGAAAAAAAGAAAGCTTTCACAAGTTACGTAAATAATGGGAATAGCATAAAACACAGGGATGGACAAGACGTACTTAACAGTCCTAACTATGGTCAACCACCACAAAGATTGCTACACTCATGAAGGCTTGATGAAGGAGCTAGCTCTCCAGCTTATTCCACAAAAGTTCAAGTTCTCAGAACAAAGCTTTTGCAATGGATTTCGGGAGGCTCTACTTTATCTGCCTCAAAATTCCTGGTTTCATAAAGGATGTACTCAGAACTGGAACCTTAAATTTGGATGTCAACCATTCGGTCGTTACATGCAATGAAACCTATAAAAAAAGAAATGCTAGACTAAACAAAAAAAAAGCTTTTTACATTTTGGAATTGTTCCTCACTAACAATGGGTTTGTTAAGGTGTTAACATTGTGCTAAGAATTGTTTTTCGAGGAAAATTCATTTTGTGAGATGTATGCAATCCAAAAATGCACATTTGTTTGGCCCAGCTCAATCTGTCCATGATTGTGGACACAAATAGCAAAGAGGGTGTACAAAACAAAATATATTCTTGAGAGTTGGTGTCTTTAAGGACGATTCTAAAACATGCGATTTAGGCAAGGACGGTGCCAAGGGGAGATGAGGGGGGGGGACGGTAGCCTCCCCTAAAATTTCTTCTGCCACCCCAAGATGAAGCAGCTTCGTATACAAATAATTGCCTATGACGTTGGCTTGAAGATCCAGTGTAACGAGTGTCCAGACTTTAAAGCCGTTCATGCGGGTTTTTTTTTTGGTTTTTTTTTTTTCTACTTCTAGCCATGGGAAGTTGTACCGTGCGCAAGTAAGCTATACTCGGTTACAGGTTAAGAAAAGTTTTTGAGGGAAAGGAGGGCAGGGGAGGAGGAAGCGTAAGGAATGATGGAGAGGAGAGGTGGAAACCTCCTCCACTCCAGCATTCCGTCTGCTTCCTCCTCCCCAGTCAGAAAACTTTCCTTAACCTGTCACTGACTATATCAAGTGCTTTAGAAAAAGCAGCTCCCCTTTGTGGTGCCCTGCTGGCTTTTCTCTGTATTCTGCTCTGTGGTGCCTATCTTCAGCGGAGACCGGAAATGTGGACGAAGGCAAGCTTAGTTAAGGTCAAGGGGAATTCCGGACCGTCTCGGAGAGGGAGGCAAAACTTGGTTGTGTGTGAGAGCACAGGTGGCAGAGATCCCTGCTGTCACAACACCCCTCTCCCTCGTGTCTCCGCATTTCCCTTTTCAGTGAGCACGCTGCATAAGCTATCTTCGGTAAGCCCGTGGGCGACAGCACTTTTGAGCAAGCTGAATGAGACATGCCGGAAGACAATCCCAAAATCCGAAGAAATGGACAAAGAAAGTGGTGAACGGGCAGCTGCCAGAAAGGAAGGATAATCCCCCCTTTGTTATAGGATCTCATGCCTGAGGAAGGTGGCTTGGCGTCTGTGTCTGGAACCTTGTAGTGTAAATCTTCAGGGAGGGAGAGGGAGGGGAAACGGAGGTCGTCTTGAAATCAAACATGGTTTTCTGAAGTCGACATCTCTTGTATCCACTCAGTTGGACAGTAGTATGCCAGAAGCGTCCAGTCCGATGCGCTATGGCGTCTAGTCATTCAATAGGTGACTTTTTTTGACACAAGTTCACTGAATGGAAAGTTGACAACGACATCTCTGAGCCTGATCATCATGACGCCAAGCATTCACTCGACGAGAAATTGTTGGTTAACGCAAGCGCCAAACTACAAGATCGTGCCAGCAGTCCATCTGAAAATGACGACAGCGAGCCAATCGTCAGTCTTCGGAACAACGAACTGAAAACCCCACTTCCTCGCATGAAGGCAGACATACCACCTGATGTGGCCAAAACAGCCTACGATTCCCCACCGCAGCCCATGCTACAATCCTTCCCCACAACCAAGTATGGGAGCGATTCCAGGACCTTCAAGGCAGAGTGGCACAGCAGCTTCCCGTGGTTGGAGTCCAGTGTGGCTTCGAACTCTGCTGTTTGCTTTCCCTGTCGGATCTTCTCTGCAGGCGGACAGGGAAGTGGAAGATCAGTGTTTGTGACAAAGGGCTATCGCAACTGGAAAAAAGCCCTTCAGAAGGATGGCGGACTTCGACTTCATGCAAACAGTGTGGCGCACAACATGTCCCAGGCATCCTGGGCTTCCTTCAGGCTCATGAAGGAAACAAGCGCAGAAAACTCAATGGCTGTGCACCTCAGCGAGGCATATTCAACAGAGTTGAGAGAACCGCCACTACATTTTTGCGATATCTGATGTGCTTCGATTTACTGCGATTCAGGGGATAGCCGAGACAGCAGACGACGAGTTATTTTTGAGCGACAATAAGGGAAACTTTCTCGAGCTGCTTCAGCTTGTTGCAAAAACTGATGTCATTGTGCTAAAAGAACTGGAGAGTGGCCCTGCCAATGCAAAGTAAACACACCACTCGATTCAGTGCGATATACTTTCTATCATGTCAGGTCTGACTTCGTGCCATTTTAAGAAGGGAGTGGACAGTGCCCAATGTTGTGCACTAATGGTTGATGAGTCCCGCGATGTCAGCAAAACAGAGCAGCTCTCCGTCGTAGAAGAGGCTAAATGCAGCCTCTCTCTACAGCTACGTGAAGGAAAGGCTGTCGAGGTGTGGAATCCTTCTCGAGAACTGCATTGCACAAACGTATGACGGTGCCAGCGTCATGAGCGGCAAGGGCAAGGGAGTTCAAGCCCTCCTGAAGAAGGACGTGCCTCAAGCCATGCACTTCCATTGCCTCAACCACCGGCTGAATGTAGTCACTGTCGATGCTTGTAAAACTTTAGGCTCTGCGAGAACATTTTTCACCCTAATGGAGACACTGTGGGTCCTCTTGGGTAGATTTGCAACACATGCCATGTTTCTCGCAGTCCAGATGCAGGTATGCAGCACGACTATTATACTTAAAGGAATCAGCGAGAATAGGTAGACCTGCCAAGTAAATGCCTGCAAAGCCGTTGTCCGCACACTCCCCGCAATCATCATTATGCCCGCACAGATCGCAGAAAGCGCCAAAACAAGATTGGTGCAGCAGATGGACTTTACATTTGTTGCACATTTGCGCATCTTCAGCCAACTCTTGGGCGAGCTGCAGATCATCTCAGACTACTTGCAAAACGTGTGACCTTACTCAAGCATCTATGATGATCACTGGAGTATGTGAGCGGTTCAGCAAACTGAGGACGGCAGAGGGCTTCGCAAGCATTTGGAGTCAATGCGCAAGCGTCGCAGAAAAGAACGGTATTAGTCTCGCAACAGATCGACGAATGAATTGTCTGCCTGCACACCTTGCAAAGTATGTGACACAGGCAACGCTCCCCAGGGAAGACACCAGCTACTGCACCGAAAATGACTACTGTTGAGACCGGTTATAGCAAAGTCGGTTATAGACCGACACGCGGGCTTGACGTCACGGAGCTGCGGCGGCGCTGCGATCGCGCCGGAGCCGGGGGGTGTGGGCAAAAGCGCGCACATTTCGCATGGGCGTCATAGCATTTCAGCATGCCGCGAAGCTGTGTGGCCGTTAATTGCACCGAAACGTACAAGAAAAGCAGCGGAGTGAGTTTCCACATGTTCCTGGCAGACTCTGAAAGGCACAGAAGGTGGATAATATCCGTTGATCGAAAAAAATGGTCGCCTCGCGCGAACGACCGTTTGAGCAGCAAACACTTTCTTGAAAACAAGTGCGGCTTCCATTTCAATCTTCGTCACGAAACTTGCTTATGTGCAGGGAAACCGTTGTCTGATCCATTTTGTTCCCATAGAGTTCGCGCACAAAGCATCGGCCAAGCGCTCGTCGGAGGCTGCCCGTTCTACCTAGCGGAAGGGGATCGGCGACAGAACGGCAGTGTTGTAGGCGTTACCGAAAAAAAGTGACGAAATACGTTACTCGTTACTTGCAAATAAAGGAGGTACGCGTTACTGAGCTACGTTACCTAAAAATAAAAGAAACGCGCTACCGCTACCGATAAAAAGTAGCGCACGTTACTTCTGTGTTACTTTTTTAAGTTGTGATTTCACACATTTTACGGTTTTGACGGTACAGGTCATATATCAAGAAACATTATGTACATGCAGAAACGAAACATAATTACTTTATCTCTTTTTACAGTTTTACCTAAATACTCACGAGAAAAAACGCAAAGAAAAACATGGCTTGACGCCTAAAATACAAAAAAAAAAAAATTGAAGTGTAATTTCTTTAAAACTGGGGAAGTAGTAACGAGTAACGTAACTACATTACTTGAAATAGTAACGTAAGTACGTTACCCGTTACTGTGTCGAAAACGTAACGAGTAGGTTACTACGTTACTGAAAAAAGTAACGCGTTACCAACAGCGCCGTTACTTGTAACCTGTTACCGCCAAGACTGCAGAACGGACAAAGCGTTACTGCTTGTCGTGCCTTGTGGTCATGGTGGTAGGAACAATATCACACCTTGACTTGAAGACGCTGTGTGTATTTAATCAATTAATACACACACTTCCGCAGACCCACAGTCTCCCGCCGGCAGTGTGGAAACCGACTCGAAGTGATCGTAGGCCTCTACGATTAGTTCGAGAGGCGTGTACGCCTGCACCGTGTCGGCCATGAAGTGGCTTGGCGAAAAAACTAAATAAACGACGACGTGAACCGTCGACTTTGGTGGCAGCAACTTCACGTCGGAAGTCCAGCAGGCCTTGTTTACGGCGTACGGATCCTCGTAGGCAATGCCATCCACGCACAGTTCGTTTCGATACCGCTGCCGTTCAGGCTCGGGCAGCGAGATCAAATAATCGGGCACAGCATACGACATACGTAGTGAGGAAATACGACGCACAAATAAAGATACAAGCGTCCCTACAACGTCAACAACGAGCGCACGCCATAAAACGCAGTGGCGAAAACACGGAGAGCCGGGCTGCTTTTGCCCACATAGCTACCGCGCATGCGCGGCCTTCCGGCCGTGTTGGTAAACAGAGTCGCTCCGCGTGTCGGTCTATAACGAAATAGCGGGTACAGGGAAGCAATCACGATTTCCCATTCCCTTTTGCACTTCATTATAACCGAAGTCGGTTATCACGAAATCGTGTATATAGCAAAGTGATTTCCGATCCCATTGACTTCGTTATAAACGGTCTCGACAGTATAGAGTGCACATATGACAGGGCAGCTGTTATGTGCTGGGATCTGGGAAAAAATGCTTCCGCGGATGTTGACAGAAAACTCCCCATTGGTCGTGGCAAGTATGAATAAATAAAAATGAAAAGGGGGGCAACCAGAGTGAGTCAGCCTTCCTTGGCATTATTAAATAGTGAGGTCCTGATCCCTCGTTATCATCTCTAGGCATCGTCCTCGAGGTCATCCTTGAGGTTATCTAGGAGGTCATTCACGATACCGTCCTCGACGTCATCCTTGAGTTCGTCCTAGAAGTCATCCTCGAGGTCGTCCTAGAAGTCATCCGAGAGGTCGTCCTAGGCGTCGTCCTCGACATCTTAAAGATAACAGCTTCACTGGTCCTCCATCTTCACGTGAAGTGGAAGGGCTCTACAATTTTTTTCTTCCCATCTTGGATAGGATTTGCGAAGAACTTCAGTGACAATTTGGCGAGAATGATGATGTTCTCAAAGGCCTTAATTGTTTCCAGCCTCAGCAGGATTGTTTCATGGACATTGCACTGGTCGAGACGCTGGCAAGTCATTACTCGTGCGACTGGGATAGTTTGGTGGCTGAGATTAAACTGATTCCTAAAGTTCTGCAGCGATACGAGAAAGAGAACCAGTGCAAGGTGACAGCCACCACAATGTTTGGTGAATTTCTAGGCCAATTTCAGATAGCCTTCCAGGAAACCTATAGTCTGTGTGCCATTGCTCTGACAATTCCTGCCTCCAGTGTCGCATGAGAACATACATTTTTTATGGCTGCGTTGGCTGAAGACGCATCCGAGAAACAGGATGTGAAACGAAAGGCTCATGAGCTTGGCGGTTCTCGCTGTGGAAAAAGCCACAGCAAAAAGCCTGGAGTTGAGGGGCATTGTCGACGCCTTTGATGCTGCCCATCGTAACAGGCGAATTCGCCTGGACTAAACTTTGGACTAGTAGCGTGTAAAATTGTATATATAGGGTGAAATTGTATAAAACCTTTGCTGTAAATATGTGTAAAATGATAGAATAATCTGAGCTTTAAACAATGCCCACACCCTGTCCGATCCAGCTATTGTTCCTTGTTCCTTATTATCAGTTCGTTAGCCTTATAGTAATTAACTGGGAAGGCATGCCCTCCCCCCTCCCCCAAATTGGTTCGTCTCCCTACTGCCCCCCCCCCCCCCCCCCCATTATGAAAATCCTGGATTTAGGGTAAGTGTGCAAAAATGGAAGCCCTCTTTTTTACAGAACTCCTAGATTGTTTATTTATGGTGATAACTCAATTTATGGGCTCTAAGCATCCTAAAAATACCGAAATCACACTCATGAGTGGCAGATTTCAATATTAAAAATCTAAGATTGTGACCTCTATCTCTGCCTTGAAGCAGAGAGGAGGCGGTGCTGTCGAAACGCATTTTCAAGCAGTAATTGCTGTATTACGTCTCCTACAGGCAAAGATTTGACACTTTTGCCAGAATACAATGCACGCAGCACCTAAAAAGAGCAATAATAGTAACATTCAGAATCTCCATGCAATGAACTATTTTCATTGGTCAAATGTTATGGAGGGGACGGGGACCTAAGGATGCCCCCCTTTCCCAGTCGAGAGAAAATGGTGCCCATGTACTTTTATTGCTGCGAATTTACTTTGGACGTCTCGCCATCTAGAACCGGTAATTTTTATTGACTAGAGCCCAAGAAACAATTTGCCATCAAAAACAAGCTTTTAGAAAGAACACTTTGGTGCCCCTTTAAGGGGGAATTGCCCCTCCTCACTGAAACTGTGTGTTGTGAAGCAAAGGATGGGGAAACTTCATTTTTTGATATCCTTGGGAGTTGCCTTGTTTTAAGCTTTTTTAAATTAGTTTGAAACGTAAGCAACTTTTGCCTTAAGATGAAATACGAGCCGTAAGAAACAAAATATTCAACACTCGTCTTAGTTATAAGATCTACAATGCCCTCAAATATTCTGCATCAGCTGTTAAAACTAGCAAATTGGGACAAGGATTCCCGAGAAAAGATCAAATAAAAGCAGCAAAACTTTCGAAGCCCTCTGGTACAAATCAAGGAATATGTGTTGATGCTATAATGGACACCGATAGAATTGTAAAAAAAATAGCTTTTATGTTGGGCTCTAATGTGGCACCTCAATGCTTCTAAAAGATTCAAGACAAAACAGGGAAGCTTTATGCTACTGAATCGCTACATACTAGTGATGGGCCAAACTTTTGCCGAATCAAAAATTTGGAATAAGGTGATATTCTGCAAGATAATTGTATCAGTGTCATTTTTGTGCGTTTACTGGCAATTTTACAGCAACTTTTTGCAGAAGTGGTGCGACGAGGTTGGTTGGTAGCGGGCGCATTCATGATATGAGAGTTTCAGTTCTGAGGCCTCATAAGTGCAAGCCTGCAAGTGTGCACGTCCACGGTCGAAAGAAAGGTGGCAACACTCTGGCCTTACTTTTCCTGCGAGTTACCGTTCTTAGAGCAAAAATCAATGCAATGACTGCTGAGCCTTCAACAGAAGAGACAACAATGTTAATCTAAATATCAATTCTTTTTTTTCTTTTGACTTTGAGTCACTTCAGCTTTTCATGGAGGTGTGCATCTCATATTCGCAACGTCTCATTTTTAACTTTTAAAATTCCAGTTTCTAGTGTTAGGGCACATGTGAATGTTTAGGAGTTAAGAATATAGGATATGCAACGTCGAGCATCATAGTTCTGTATTTAGTTTTATGCGGACAGATGAAAACTGCAAAATAACGCTATTTAAAAAGCAATAATATTTTGTTTTAGCACAAATTACTCGTGAGCCGAGAACAAGACTGCTATAATGGCTCTAAAGTAGTTGTCAGTCAATGTTGCAACTACCTTGCGCCTCACTGGAAGTATCAAATGAAGATCACGTTAACCCGAATGTACCGCATCATTTGTCACTTGCGCAGTAGACTGCCAATTCCTGGTCAATCTTCTGCTCTTGAGGCAGAAATATTTAAGAAAACTATGCTCGCAAGGGCTGACAAACACAGTTATCATGTCGCCTACTGTGCACCTCGCCGTAACCACTGGTAGTACTACACTGTACGATGGTAACCGCATGACCGCATGACGTCCATTTGCGATCCATGGCCCCATCGCGTTCCCGCACGAGTGCATGCGTTTGCCACATATTTGCCAAACTTTCCTCCGAAAATGCGCCAAACTCTGCTAGCTTTGAAGTTCAGCAGATTAGGTCCACCACTAGGTACATACACAGACAATGTGCCATACGTGAAATAAACCGATATACACTCCTACAATCTGTTCATGACAAAAGAAAGATGCATACTTTGCAGCATTTCATTTATTTACAAATACGTTCCAACATTCACCCGAGGGTCTATTCCATCACTTAAAAAACCACCTGCAAGACTAGGTCCAATTAGGATTGACAGGACATGTTCGCACCATCCCAAGTGGCCAACACCATTCACGAATACAAATCAAATGCCTAGTCGACGATGCATTTGCACACTAAAACCAGTATCAATGGAGCAACGTGCAGCTAGGACAGGCGTTTCTCATTGGGACGCTGCCCGAAACTATCGAGCCGTTCGTCCCACACTGGATGAAGTTGGCCAACTGTCGGCCGCTTATGAATGCACCTTCTGAACACGCAAAAAGTTGGCCCTAAACAAAGAAGCCAGAGCAAACAACAAAAAAAAGGGAACAATTTTGGTCCGCCACTTCCTTTCCAGAAAGTTTGCAGCCTAACGTGGGACAATGGAAGAGCTGAACCTTGTCATGGCAGGTGTTGCAAACAAGCTCGTTAGAAACCCCCCCACCCCATTGGCAGCACTTTGGTCACGACTGAGTACTAGTGGAATGTGGAGCCCTCCCACGCGGGCAGTTGCCACTGGGAGGCCTCCTTGTGAACACAAAGAGCCAGTTGCGGCAGGGGGACCTATGACTAGAGTCCAATGCTCATTGAGATTGAGGTAAAACTCGTCCCGCTTCTCGCAACCTCGACGGCGAGCTCGCACGGTCGTCGCGTCTCCCCGCCTCGTGAGCGAGAAAAGCAGTCTCTGCAAATGCTACAGTAAGGCACACCCTCGCCGAACCCTCACCCGCGGCTGGGGGGCAAATCCGACGCGCTAGGAAACGGCAATGCTGGCACTAGACTCGTTCATCGAGCCGGTGCACAAAGCGCGCTCAGAGAGAACTACCACAGACTCGTGAAACGGGAAGTTTGCCTGCCCGGTCTTGTTCCCCGACAGAAAAGTGTCTTCTCTGAAATTATGGCAGCATATGAGAAGACAGGGATGAAGTCACATCAGTCCTGGTTTCACACTCTCTTCTGCCGGTCCCACTCTCCAAGAACGAAAACCTCCTCCCCCAGAGAGCACCAAATGCTCGTACACTAAAAGATTCCGTCGGGTCTTTGGAGAGATGTCTGGGAGCGTCACACGGCCTCCATCTCGGTCAGGCACAACAAACGGGGCACGCGTCTCGTCCGGACTGTCCATTCGAGGAGACGGCAAGCACAGGTCGTCGCTTCCCCTATGTCGTTGCCGCCGGCGTCGCTTCCGAGTCCACCTGCTGCTGGTGCTCCGACGCCGCCGTTAACAGCTGCTGCTTGAGCTTGAGGTAGCTCTCCAGCCGAGCCTGCCCATATTCCTGAAAGTAGGAAGATTTGTTCTTTTTCTGTCGCAGCACCACCAACGTCACCACCATGTTAAATAAACAAAAGACGAGCATATGTGTCCAACGAAGCACCTGCTCTGACAAAATGTAGCGATACTGAAACAAAGTTTGCGAGTGTTCTCGTTGGGAGTGGCTTTCACAATTTGAGGCCATTCTCGTGTATGGCAGTGAACAAGAACTGTAGTCCGTGAAAGGCTAAGAGCTCAGGGATAAAACGGAAAGAGGAGTTTCCCCTTAATTCTCAACCATAGAGGCACAAAGTGTTTCCAAGGAACCAAAACCCCAAAACTTTGTTTCAGAACCGCACCGCAGCACTGAAATCAATGGCTACGAGGGTGGCCCTGCACAATCAAAAAGATTGGTCGAGCTGTAATCAAATGTAGCGTGCTCCGTTGCATAACTTCCCTGTCACACAAGATGTGCAACCGTCGTGCGATCGAGAGCAGTCTTGCAATTCACAAAGCGAGGTGTCGTCTGCAAGTTGGCAGCAGCCCTACCCTGCGCTCCTACAGAGTGGTTCAGTCTGGGCAAGAGTGGCTCACAGAATGCACTTGTGGCGCTGCTGGCAACGCTCTGCAGCACCGACAGAGCCTCTCCCATTGGGCAAAGAGAGCCATCGTCGCAACTTCTAGCCCACCACCTCTGGTATACCTAACAATATGGCACGGTAGTGTCTGCAAGACACAGAAACGATCAGAAAAGTCTCATTTCTGCAAAAGTTACTTCCTTCCGCAAGCCATAAAGCAAAAGATAACCTTAAAAAACCGAAGAATGGCGACTTGGAAGGGCCGAGAGCAATAATGAACAAGGGGCACAAGGTAGGGTCGGCTTTATTGCTTAGGGTCCATGCACGCACGTTCATTGCATTGCACCAGAGTGCCCGGAGAAGCAGTTGGTGCGTAGGAGTGCCAACTGCTCAAACGGGGGCGGTCTGCTCGTGATGCGGGCATCCTTCCTGGTGGCTAAAATCGCCCGCAAAAAAGATTTTCTGGTCGCAAGACTGGCTTCGTGGGGACAAGGTGCCGATAAAAAAAACTCGCCGTCAAATATTTTTTGATGCGTTGTCGAGTCTAGCGAAGCTTCTAGAGTGTTGCAGCTCAGCACTGCTGCAAGAGCGGATGGCTTCGACTTGCGCCTCTTTGGCACATGCTCTCGTGAGAGAGACGACAAACATAATGTTGCGCTCGCGCAGGTAGCCTGACAGCGTTAGGCCAATGTGGAAGTTATGCTAGCTTTGACAGCGTGGCACAAGATAGTTGACGCTGAGTAGCGCTCCAGGCAAAGGGCTGCCATAAGTTTGTCCTCGCTTCGTCTATTTGAGTCCAATTTTAAGTGCAGAACCAGCCTGGGTAATCAGCCTTGGAATGTAAATGAAACAAATCACATTTGTGTGCTTTAGGGGTGGCATGTAAAGCTATTTCTGGGGAAGGTTGAGTTAAGCGAGAAAACAACAGGCAAGGCTCACGTCTGCCGAGTGGAATCGGCTGGAACGCTAGACCCTTTTTGCCCCTATAAGGAACCGGCCAGGTGACCTCAAGATCCCTCGTACCCACCGAGCGGAATACCCGTACCACCAGCAAACTGCCCCAGATGTGCTCAGGAGTCTGGGTTGGGCACTTATTGTGACACAGGCGCACGCTCGGTATTTTACAGTCTATGATGTAAGAAAAGTGCACATTGCTATCTTTTCCAATCACACTCCAGACAAGTCGTAGGTTCCACTCTTTATTGTCCCGTCCTAACCGTTGCCTTCGTGCACATCCCACCGTTTGCCCACTCTCGCACCCAGCTTCCTACGGTTGCTCGTCTTTCCCCAATTCACCGTTTCCCTAGTCCCATTGTCCCTAGACTGCTCCCTATCCTCCCGCTCTGCACTCGTGCTCCCTAGACCCTCGCAACGTTTTGCAGTGCCGGTTGTTGTACCATACTGCAGGGTTTACAGAGCTCCAAAGACCCCTGGCCTACTTTTGAAAGTGACCTCTACCCAAACTAAAGCCTAGGCCTAGCATTTGAGAGACAGCACCAGCACCACCAGAGTGGAAAAATGAACCAGCAGTCTCCTTTTGCAGACTAGAATATGGGCAACTTGATAGTGTTTAGTCCTTTTCCCCTTTTATTCTTTCTGCTAGATCAATAGACATTTCGCCGAATTACCCAAGCATCAAAGATGATGCTGGGAACGTACATGCTGCATGCGCTCGCTTTCCCTACAGGTGCACAATGTGCCCACACTCCCGGGTTTCTCTTTGATGCTTGGGCAATTCAGCAAAAGGTCTACTGGTAGAGAAAACCTCGACTCTTTCCATGCCACGCCCGTCAGAATTGATAACACGAGATCCACGATTTGAAAGCCCGGTTGCAAAGGCTCAGACGATGTTCTGGACAAGTTACAGCATCGGGTGGTTACGGGAAACAGACTTGTTTCACTTTCCCGATAGATTTCTTTTTTTCCGCGAGATAATGATTTATTAAATACGAGCACGTAATCGAGAAGAGCGCTCTTCGCTGCGAACACGGAGTCTTCAGAAGCGTTTCCAGCCTCGCGATTTGAGGGCGTTTGCAGTCAATTTTGCTGCCGACACAAGCACGAGTGAGTCTGGAGATGATGTTGGATCACCAGACTTAGTTCAGACAGCGATGATCTGTCAAATAAGCCGTAACATCAAAAATTCTGCCAGTAAAACTTATTCTGGGTTTTTTCTTTCTTTTTTTGCTGGTCTCACGAGATTAGACATTTGAGTTTCAATTTGCTGGTCTTGATTAGATTAGACACCCTAGTTTTGATTTTTGTATAGCCTTTTTTTTTTTTCTTGTTTTCTCACAAGATGGCAGTTTATTACAATCAAATGCACAGCCGAGGAAGAGTGCTCTTCACAGAGCGCACCTCCTCGGAAGCGTTTGAAGCCACGCGATTCGAGGGCACCTGCGGTCATTTTGTAGCTGGTACTGCCACGAGACATTCGGAAGATAATGATGTCAGATCATCACATTTTAGTTCTGGCAGCGATGATTTGTCAAATGAGCCCAAAACATTTGCAACTGCATGTCGGCAAGGCTTCTTTTGGTTTAAGTTTTCATGTTCTTCGCTGGGCTCACATGGAAGTCCAGGCTGTTTGTGCTTGTTGTCAATGCATCTGGTGGTTAGATTAGACACTCTAATTTCAGTTTCTGTATAGCTATCTTTTTCCCCACGAGATGGCGATTTATCACGAATAACCACGCAGCCAAGGAGATGGCACTCGGAGAAGATGCTCCCTTTTGCGAACATGGCGTTGAAAAGATTGCGGGGTTCAAGGATTTCAGATGGGAGAAGGCAAAAAAGGTGATGTCTCTTTGCTAAGGGATCAAAATGTATTATATCTTCAATGGAAGGACCGGCGCGTCATACACGTGATGACCACTGTACATACTGAACAACTGCATCACAAGCCTCCCCAAGAAATGGAGAAGTGGCGCAATTGCGACACGTGTTACTATGAGTGCAAAATTGAGCACAAGACAAATTCTGCAGTACCTGGTACATTTACCTTTGTTTTACCACATCCACAAGCTGCTTCACTGAATGGTGTGCACACCACCATGGTTAAGACTATGTAAAAAAACATAACAATTTTTTTTTTTTATTTTGAACATTGCAATTTGTTTATCTGTGCTGCTATTGAAATTTGGCGTATTTTGAATTTTTTTTAGCTGTCATTCTTTTTCCGAGATATCTGCACATCTTTCACTTTTGTTGTGTTGGACACAATAATTTTGGTTTCCAGAAATTAAATTTTGTATAATTTATTAGACTTCTATATCATACTTATATAATTAAAAAGAGAATTTATGCACCAAATTTTAATACAAGAGAAAAAATTTGAAAAGCAAATGTATGTCAGAAAAAAAATTACTGGGACCCTCCAAAATTGGGAAGTTTTCCCATGGTAAGAAAATAGTTAAAAGGACATTAACAGGCTATTTATGCTCACCAACGTTTTTATTTGTACATGACATAACTACCCAGAACACAATTAGCGGCTCGAAATTCGTTTTCTTTCTGCCCTAAAACCGCCGATCGAGAACTGGCCAGTTTGAGTCGCGCTCACTCTCTTCTCCCTGGTCACGTGCCGTTCTCTATGGTTAAAAACACACATTAAATATAATCAAAGTTGCGGGTCATCGAAGGCACACACTCAATACTAAAAATATATATAAAAAAATGATACCCATTTTCTGTGGCTTCTAAAAAGCTCACAAATACATTGAATGAAAAAAAAAAAAAAAAAAGCAAGTTGCACAGATAACTGGAAGTTCACTGTGCATCCTCCGCGTAATTCTGAACATGGCGTCGTATTGTGGGAGTCGCAGGCCGGACGACCGTTGTGGAACCTCTACTTTAGAACTGTTGTTTGCGGTACCGGCCAATGTGTCTAGCTTCGAAAGAGAAATTGTTCACCGATCGGAACAATTATTATTTATTCCCCATGACACGCCCGACCACCAAGCTGATTCGCACGGAGACCTCACAGAGTCGACGGCCCTTCTCCTAGCTGAAGACATTGTTCACCTTACAAACATGGATTGGTAAGAGTTTGAAAAATGTGCAGATGTCACGCAGGAAGTGCTTGACTTTGCAAAGGAGATGAAAAACGAGCAACTTCATCTGCATTGCTCTGCTAAAAAAAAGGAAAAAGAAAAAAAAAAGGAAAACGCAGTCGGGTGTTGCCATGTGACCTCTGGCAACTCTCTCCTCCTCTACATTTTTTCTTGCTCCCCAGCCCAGTTTCAGTTTCAAGCAGTTGCACTTTTTTACTTTATTAAAAATATATGCGACGCCGTAGAAAAATATTGATTGGGTAGTCTTTTGACATTACAATAAATTGCCTGGCAAAAATAAAAAATAAAATTCCGAGAGGTGTTAGTGTTTTTTTTTAAATATCAATGCGCCTAATGCCGTAGAGCCAGTCTAAATAATTGGTCGGATTTTTACGTACATCTCTTATGTTTTATTTTATTCGGGTGTCAATATGGCCGACTTGGCCACGTCCAGCAGCGCCAATCGGAAAGCTCGACTGGGTCCATACTTCCGGTAAAGCAGTACTTTGGGAAAGCTTGACGAGTCTAGACTCCTTTTATGCAGAAATGAAGACATATGTAGCTGCTTTTGAAATAGATATGTGTTATCTTATCATGTTGCCAAAAGCATCGCTTCTAACAATCTTGTAAGAACTCCTTTGCGCTGCGTATGAACGGTGCACCAAACTTAAATTTTTCTCGAGGTGAAAACAAGTAGAGGAGCATCGATGACAGCACTTTACTGTTTCATCTAAAGAACCGGTGTCTCCCATCCGTCGTAAACGACCGCTTAAACCTCTCCGCTTTGTGCTCGACGTATTGAGCGGAGCTGCACCTCCACCAAGCCATACAGTTTTCTTGCCTCATTCGGTGGAATGCAGCAATCTTAAGCGCAGTTTTTCCTCTTCAGGGATTGAGAAACGTCAAGGAGCATGACCAGCACCTGCTAGGTGCGGTGGCACGAGGCACGGGTCAATGTCCGGCCGGCACTCGATTGGCGGGTCTGGACCAAACACCGACCCAACACCAGCCTTTGGCGAGTGGTGCGGAAACTCCGGCGTTACACCTTCGTTACCCCCTGCCCCCCGTCACCGTCCGGGGCTCTTAGGCCGACGGCCGCTCACCCAGTAGCCGAACTTGATCTTGGAGGTGTGGGCGTTGAAGATGCTCCACAGGGTCCACATGAGGTGGGAGGCCAGGGTGAACATGTGGGCCTCCTTGAGCACGTGCTCCACCGTGTTGATGGCTCCCGGCGTGTTGTCCTCGGGCTTCAGCGTCTGGCACATCTTGTACGACCGCAGGTAGTGGCTCACAAACTCCCGCTGCACGCAAAGAGGCTCCCTCAGTCCACCGTTGCCGGCGAGGCTAATATTGCAGTATGGGGCGCCTTTTCTCGGAGAGAGCACTCGTCGTTGCCACCGAGGACATTAGTAGCGACGAGCTCGGTTTGGAACATACACGCACTTCGTTTCCTCGACTCTTCAAAGACCCGGGGAAAACAAACTGCCCGGCCGTGACCGCTGGAAACTGCCTTCGTCAAGCTTTCAAGTTCCAAGCCGCACCAGATTTCTTTAGAGAAACGCATCTGCTAACTATTTCCTACGAGAACCTACCTGGTGCTCTAGGCGGGGGTAGTCGTGCGGCAAGACCTTGAAGTAGGGGTGCTCGGGGTAGGAGTAGTCGTACATCCACTCGCAGAAGTGGTTCCCAATGTCAAACCCCCTGCAATACAACGGGAGCCTAAGCAGGGCCCTTGCAAGGTACCTACATGCTACTGGTAGACACTCCAAACAAAAGCGTGCATTTCAAGCTATCACACATAAGCAACTGTTTTTTAAAGAATACAGCACAACGCCCCCACCGAGACAAAGTAAAGCCTTTATGACAGCGGTAGTTGTACTACATATCTCAGTACCTGAACAGCCTCACTACAGTTACAAGGTTGCTTTAACTTTTCTTTATAGTGAAGTAAACCTGCGAAGCGGGTAGAGTAAAAATGCCGATCCAGTAAAGCTCTCTTGTAGCGTAGCTTACTAAACCGAGATTGAACTGCATTGAAACTGAGCACTACAAAACATCTGTGGCCTTACCGGTAATTGTAGGCACAGTACTCGTAATCAATGAACACCATGTTGTCTTCTTTGGGGCCAGGACCCTCCATGAAGAGAATGTTTCCTAGAAAGACAACTCCAAGGTCTCACAAGGTCCATCACAGCATGAGTTGCCATTTTGGCCAACCATCTCTCACCTTCCTGCAGGTCATTGTGGCAGAACACGATCGGAGAACACACTGTAGACAGGAGCTCCCTGTGAAGCAATAGAGCAATCGGACATCACTCACGGCTAAATACTCTCAAATAGATGCCACAACACTCGCTGCCAAGCCCGGTCTCGACAAAACAGATTTTTGTCATGAGCAACACCAATTCTTGTGTTAGGAATAATGCTCTATGCTCCTAGGAACCCGGGGAACCGTGCCATCACGTGCTGCCATCACATATGACTGGATCAATGAGCATGTAGTTTCTACTGCACCGTCAACATAGGGGTGAGTAGAGATCTATTATTTTGGAAGCTAGCAGGGCCACCTATAGACCTTTTCAGCTTACTCTCGCCCCAACCACCAAGTAGGCATATCCGGTATGGGCGACGAAAAAATATCAGAATGTTTCAACCTGCAAATAGTAAAGAAATTGCGTGGAGGCAAAACGAGAATGTCTGACGGTTACGTTTATGTCCTAAATGCCTTCTATTGGCGTGGCGACGGCAAAACAATGTTTTCGCCCATACTGGAAGTGAAGACAATTCAAGATGGCGGCACCCTTGCGAAAAAGGTCTATAGACAGAGTCGCCAATAGGCACCAAAATCGCATACACTGGACTCATACAAAGCTAAGGTTCGCTGCTTTCGGTGAAAAATGTCAACTGAATAGTGCAAGAACGCGATTTATGTAGGAAAAGAATTAATTGTGGGACGTCGGATGCACTCCAATGTAGAGGACTACTCTATCACTAGCAGCACCAAGTCGACTCTTACGCAACAACCAAAATGTCAAGGTGGTAAGAGCACTGTTGTCTGCCTCCACTCGCGCAATGGCAGGTCTCAACGCTGCGGAGAGCGCCTACCTGAGCCAGCCGACTTCTGCAGCCAGGTCGACCGAGAGGAGGTTGACGGCGTTTGTGTAGTCCTTGACTGGCAGCGAGTCCACCTTGATACTCCGCGCATACTTGAGCCACCTGGGGATTCAAGTCACTCGTGAGAACTCCTGCCCCGACACCCGCTGGGAAATGTCCGAGTTCATTTTTAGACACCGATTTATTTACAGACGCCTCCTCTCGGAAGGTATGGTAGGACTTGTTTCAAGGCCCAAAGAATACAATAAATGTTTTGTAACAAACAAAAGAAATAAGCAACATGCAGACTGTTACATTTTATGTACATAACTTAGTCCACGTGAGGCAAAATCAAGTAGGTGCCACGCATCCAGCAATGAGAAAAAAAAACGCAGATGTCAGACACCATCGTCGACAGTAGAAAAAACGAAACGAGCACACTTGCAGAATCCTCTTACGCTCGCCATATATAGGCTAGAAAATCGAACCAAGCAGTGAACAAGTGCCACATAATCAAATAGTATATAGAGTGGCACCGAGGACCAGTGGTGCAGACAGGAGTCTTTTTCGGGAGGGGGGGCGGACGTGGCTGGGATGTCCACGACTCGGGGTGCGGAGAGGGGAAGGGGGGGTCAAAATACAGGCGTTTATTTAAGGGTTGGCCGGATTTTGGGAGGGGCTAAAGCCCCATAAGCTGCCCCCTAGCTACATCACGGCTGAAGACTCCCTCCTGTACTAATTTAAGCTTCAATAAACAAATGCAACGCAGTCGAGAGGCTACATATTTACTCCCAGCAACATCCAAACTCCTCTACAACACACATTTGTGAATAGGATAAAAAGCAGTATGCATCTAGATGTACCCTGCGGTTTTGGGAACAGCAATGTCACCCTAAAGCTGTCAATCGCACAGGGTACTCCGGTGCTCCCCAGTGCGAGATCAATCACCGCACCCAGTACGTCGCAACTGGGGTTGTGCACCCAATCTTTCTACTATGTCGCGAAGCATATGTAGGAATGCTGGGGCAAGAGAGCTTTCCCTTCTTTCTGCACTGTTGGGGCAACTTGCCGTCCATCGAGACAAGTGGATGTGTTTGCCGCCGTTTACTCAAATCAAGATTCTGGCTCGTCACTGCAACGAAGTAACGAGAGAAATTGTCCAAGCTTTTTTCGTCTCTCCTCACGGAGCAGACACGCACGTGAGCACTCCGTCCGAGGCCTTGGCTAGCGACAAAGTGAAATTTATCGAGAAATGTGGCAAATTTAATCATAGTTGCAGGTGCGTTCTGGTGGTCCTGTCGGGTTGAGTTTTTCTTTCCTTTTCTTACGTTTACTTTTTCGTAACATGTAGGAATAAATTTCAGGTGTCAGTCAGCACCGTTTCTGTTTACTTCTCGTTCTTTCCCCTGGTTTATTTTGTGCCGTTTTTTATCGTTCGACACGCACCAACTGGTCCAACCACAAGCCTCGCATTTTTTCGCCAGCAAAAATTTTAACGGTGTTTCTACAGACTGCAGGTTTCTAGCATAGTTTGCCAAAAGCCGCTAAAAGATGCGAGGTTGGACAGTGTAGGATGTCCAGAGCACGACACAGCGGGCACAAACGCAAGGTCTTTCTCATTCTTTGCGAGCCAAAACGCCGTCGTCAAAAATATCGACATACTCAAATGTGCCTACGCGGGCCGCCCGAGCAAAACAAGAAGATGCAAATGTTGCTTCGCAGTAACTGTGTCATGCGGCGTACATGCTGCGTGTAAAGGAAAGAATGCCAAATAACTATAGTCAAAATGACACGCAAGTCACTTGGATCGGTGAATATTAGTCGGTTCCCATTTCTTCTCCTTGGGATGCCACGCGCTCGTTGCCTTTCGCTTCAGCTGCGCATGCATGCTCCAGGCTCACGGGAAGCGCTGTTGAAGGCACTCCCTGTCATTCTCATCTTGTCAGTGACTGTTTTTCGTAACAACTGGACAGGCCATTTGGCATTCTCAAATAAACAACAGAAATTGCTTTCCTCGAGTTTCCTTTCGCTGTTTGTTTTGCACCCAAGTTCTGGCACCCCGAAAGACAACAAGGCACTCTTACCTCTGCATGTTGTTGAAGAGCCAAGTGGGTTCCTTGACCAGAGGTGCCTGCAGCACATGCACCTTGCCCAGCTTCTTGGCAATCAACAGCGAGATCTCAGGGTCCTTGAGCTGCTCGATGGTCAGAGCACGTGCCTGGGCAAAAAAAAGACCCTCGTCGCAACATGAAAAAAACAAAACGAGAATGGTGGCAAACTAAAGCTTTTGGGCCAGTCTGCTCACTACGCGTCACCACACACCCTTAGAAGGCGCGATCCAATTATCCAACGCGACACCAGGCAACGTAAATACCGACGCCGGCAAAATTTGGCCGTCGGTATCGAAGCCGAAACGGTAGTTGGGGAAGTTGCGGTGCATGATTTGCGACGCAGTGATGAGCGAAATATTTGTCGTCGAGCTCGCTAAAAACTATGAATTCAGCCTACGACAAAAACGTCTCTCAACAACTCCGGAATAAACTTCACTCTTTCTACGAGAGCCGCCCGGATTCCTTTGAATGGTCCGCCGCTCACTCTCTCCCGAGCACCATAGCCCTTTTGACTACGGTGCCTGGGGTGCTACCGGCATTTTTGCCTAATGAGGCGAAAAATGTGTGGCGCTGGCGATGGCGTGGCAGCAAAGCTGGAATCAGTGGCTGCGAGCCGTAGGCAGTCCTGTGGCCAGGCGAAAACCAAAGCAGACGACCCTCGCATTCGCTAGCCCTTTTTGCCAACATCCGCGAGCACGACGTGCCAGCTCCCGGGAGGCCGTTTGCTGTTACTCCAGGATCGCTTTCGATGCTGAGACAATACATTTTGGAAACACGTCGCGGGCAGCATGGTTCCGACCGACGCCCCTTGCCACTCACGGGTATGTACTCCTCGAGCCTGCCGCCGGGAAAGACGCCGTACAGCTTGGGCCCCAGGTTGCGCTCCGAGAGCAGGGTGCAGATGACGCTCTCCGTGACGGTCGACTCCCCGCCCTCGCTGTGGATCTGGCCGTACATGCGCATCAGCACCTGGCTGGGCTCGCCGTACAGTGGCGTGTGCGTCTCCGGCAGCGAACAGTAGTACAGCAGGTTGCTCAGGCCGCCGCTGCACCCCAATCGTAAAAAAGTCGTCAGAGAAGCCACCGGGTCGGCCCCGACAGACCTCGGCATTTAAATCGCTCGCCCTCCAATCTTCTGCCAATATAAAATATCCCCGGTTACGTCACTTCAATAATGTCCTAAGAAGCCCCAGCTTTTTATACATTATCGCGAAACAGTCGATAAAAGGTGCAAGCGTGAACTTACGGTTCGCAGCTGAGGTAGGGCCATAAGCTCACGTGCGCTCTTAAACCTGCTACTGCCTCCGCAAAAAATAAGATTACATTTCTGGCGGCTTGTTCTAAATCGACAAACACTCGAAACTTGAGTCCGCACAATTGGCCTCCCCCGAGATATTTATCTTTCATCGCATAAGATATGAAACCTCGTACGAAGCTACCAGCTATGAAAAGAAAACATGGGATACCACTGTACCGCAGTACTTTGCAAAGTTATGGGGCCTGCAATGTGCGATTGAGACATCACATAGCCGTGATATCGGGCCTAAAAGAAGCAAAAATTAACTCTCATTGAACCAGTTTAAAGAATTCAAGTAAAGTGACAAAGTTATACATATTTCGTACTGTCAAAACGACTTGCTCGTCAAACTGGAGAATTTTCAGTCAACATCCTACAATTGGAAATTTCAATAGTTGAACAGATTTGGGCATTTACCTCAGCATGAAAGTTTTCACTCTGGTTATTTGCACCTTGGGAACCGCTCAAAAAAACTTAAAATGCCGGTAGAGAGGTGACATTATGAAAGACACTGAAATTGGAAACTAAACAGAAAGATGAACTCAGCATTATCATATCATATTGCCACGGATGCAGTGCTGCCTGCTAACGTTGGAATGCCCATGATATTCGTCATTTTTTTTTTTTTTTTCTACGACGTTTGACTGCGCAATTCTTTCACTCGCCGCCACAAGATCGTGTGACAGGGCGCCACGTTGTTGGCGCGTAGTGCCAACAAAGTGAGCACTCCTCACCTCACAGACTTGAAGACCATGTCGCTGCTGGATATGCTTTTCCAAGTACCGCTCAAAAACTCCCGGCAAATGTTGTACGCCTTGTCCCGCATGTCCTCGGTGATGTAAACTTCATCCGGCTCGCTGAAACGATACAAAAAAAGAATATATATATATATTTCTTTTCTTTTTTTGGATGGCGTGATCTAGCGGCCGTTGTCGCGACCCCGAAGTTGCACGCGGAGCGTCTCGCCGTACTTGAACTTCAAGATGAAAAAACCCCGTTGAACGGCCTTAAATCCTCGCAGCAGCCTGGAGGTCAGCGTCGGTGAGTCGCTACCACTGTCTGGGAACATTTTGACGACTAGCTGTATTATCATGCTGTGCCAAACCTCCGGGGAAAAGAAAAAAAGAAACAAAAATATCGAAAGGTCGACGGCAGCGGAGTTTGCCCTCCAGGCCTACGTGGTTGACACCGAACGTTGGTGGTGGGCTAGGCCACCCATCGGCATGATCGGGACTGCGGAACGCACACGGGTGCTGCAAAGAGCGTGAACGATGGCTCGTGACGCATGGAAAAGGAAAACGTGTCCGGCCCATCTCTGATCCGCAGTGTCCGGCGAACTTTTCCTTTTATTTTCTGCCACCGGCCCCCGTCGAGACTTTAGCCCTCCTGCGATATTTAGTCGTTTGCCGACACGCTTTCCCAACGCTAAGAAGACACAAATTGCACGGCCAACTAAAGCTTACGGGGTCGGCGCCAGATCTCGGCTCACCGGGCGACACCACCGCTCTCGGCAAACGTTTCGCCGACGCTGCCGGGACTCGAACAAAGGCAAATCAGGTTGTCGTCGAGTTTCGTGTTACCTGTGCTGCGGGTGGAATGCTAGAAAGGAAATCTCCTTGCCCATATGAGAATACATGGCCTTGTCAGAAGGAGGCAGCTTAGCTACACCGGGGCTCATAACGCACAAATGACACCCGGACCAACTCGAGCATCTTCTGAAGAGGCCTGCCTATGACGTCATCCGCGTCATCGCGCCGTTGGCAACGCGTCGCCGCCCTCAAGCGGACGGGATTTCCGCAAGTTGCTTGCGAAAACTGCGAAAAGGGCAATTTCGCGCCGTATTCGAGCAATTTCGCATCTGGATTCCGGTTCGAAATTTTCCACCGTTCAATATCCGCGATCCGCCGCTGTTCTTTGGTTTTTCGCCGTTCAATGCACCACACCGACAACTTGCCACGAAAGTAAAATCTCTGGAGGATGGTAGTATAGTACTTGGTAACACGTATGACTTTTGTGTTCCTTCGACTTATGTGTTCATTTCTGGCCCAGTCCAACACCTTTCTGCATTTCTGCCCAGTCTCAGGTTTATTCAACGTGGTTAACATTCACCAGCTCGCCTGGACCGTTACTGTATCATCTATGGCTCATGAGCTTGGGAAGGGGGGGGGGGGGGGGGGGGGGCGCGGGGGGCTTTTGCCGTTTTTGCTTTTACAGGATCTAAACCAGTGAGGGCAAGCCCCCACACTCGTCTGTTCCGACCTCCTCCCCCCCCCCCCCTTTCCCCCTCTCTTCTCCCCTCCCACCACCCGTGAGACTGTTGCATGTTGAAGCTGCAAACCATAGGCGGAGACCGGACGAGGCGCCACAGGCTAAACCGACGCGAAAGACAAACCATGTGCGGAAAGTGCCAACAATTTTGTGCATCGTGTTTAAAATGGTTTATATGTTTCAGTAGCTGGCGTCATTTATTTTTTTTTCTTCGGAAGTTTTGTTAACCCGTTCGTTTGAAGTTGTCATTCATTGTTTATCCAATATGTGCGTTCTCACTAATAAATCTCCGAGTATTCGATCAAAGTGCAGCCTTCATTTCTCTGCACTACGCTTCGTCAGTGGTCGTTGACAGAGAGAGAGGTGAAGTGTACGATGCGACATGAGCCTTCAGACGTCGCCCCCACACATCAGATATACCTCTTGAGCCCCTGGTTTGAGGCACGAAGCCCGTGAACGTTACGAATGACCGCGGATGTTATTGAAAAGAAGAGGCGCCACGTTAATGATGTCAAGCTACACAGTTGGCTGTCTCTAAAGCTAAACCGTATCGTTTGTTCACTTTTCCGGCGTAATAAATTGGGCCAGTCCGTCGACCCTCTACAGGTATCCTTGCAGCAGATCTCTCTTCACTCACCCACAATTTTGTCGCCGCAAAACCACGCTTCCTGGACGTGCTAAACTGGACTTGGCGCGCCTCGCCAGGTCCTTCAAGACACTCTCCCAGGGGAAGTTGACGAAGGAACCCATGCCGAGCGATGCAGAACACACCACGAGCGCCGGCCTCTCCGAACAAGATCGGCCGCAAGACTAAACTCCCTCGTGAGTCGTAAAGCAACGCCAACTACTTGTTTCCTTCTCTCCGGCTGAACCGGCGTACCAGCGACGTTTCACGCAGATAATCGGGGCTGGCCCTCCCATTTGGGGTCCCGGAGAATTCCCAAAAGCAATCAGAGGGAGGAGGATGGCCGAGCCCCTCGGGAGAATTCCGGAACTGGAAATTACGGACGAGCATGCACTCAAAATCTCTTTTTCTCCCTCACCCCCCAAACAAGAGGTGCGGGAGCCTACGTGTCTCGGAGATTGAGGACAACGGCTTCTGTCGTCTGGAAGGTCACGCGGACGTGTGTGTTGACGTCGAGGTGTCTGTGACCCGTCTGCACGCTTGACAGGAAGTCATGTTGGGACGCCGGCCAAGAAATCCTAGCAAGAACTGGCACAGGAAGGAAAGTGCGCTGCTCTATGCGCTAATAAGCCGTAAGAGTGGCGGAGGGTGTATTTCGCGAGTTTACTCTCTGCGCATCACCGAGTTGTTATACGCCGCCGATACCGTTATCGCATCATGTTCGAACATAAGTCCCATGTGACGCTGTAGAGCAGTTCTTAAAGGGACCATGAAATGATTTTCCATCTCCTTCCTCCTTCAATTGAATCCTCGACTCAAAAGCGAAATGAGAAATCACTTGGTCGTGACGTGCTGGTGCACCGGAGGCGATGACTCCAAGCTTCCACCGTGCTTTTTGACCACACGTCCGAGTGATGCAGTGCTTTTTGGACACACGTCCGAGTGACGCAGTGCTTGTGTTGAATGCGTGAGTCGGGTTCGGCTGACGTGATTGGGCACAGCGGAAGCATTACAGTGAAAAGGCGGACAGCTTTCGAAGGAAAGGAGGCACGAAATATAGTCCGCTATATTTTCAAATTTTCGTATCGAAAAGCGGGCTTTATAGCTTTCTGCGCTCGTGCACCAGTTTTATTTTGGCGCACAAAAGAATATGCGATTAGTTAAAATTCCAATTTATTCCAGCCTAAAACTCATTTCGTGGTCCCTTTAAAGCCGCGAAAGTAAAGGGAAGCTGAAGTTCAGGATGTCGGAATAGATGTCCATTATTTCGCCTGACTGCAAGCAGAAAAGTCTGCTATCGCCAATGTTTTCCTTTCGTGTGGCATGCACCCGAACATGCAGTTTTCAAGCGTCGACAGGACTCCTTGCTCACATAATGTAAGCCACAAATTTTGTTCATTTTTTTTTCTTCTTACTTTTGTGGTTTCTATTTTGCGAACAAGCTAAGGAGTTACAGAGGAGCTGAAACTACCCGTCGTGGTCAAGACTTGAGCATCGAGACGGCAGTCTTCCCCGAGTTCCCTCCAGACGCCGTCTACCCTTACAACAACAGCTTTCGACATTCTTTTTTAATTTGTTTAGACTTCTTACTGACTTTCCGGGATCCTGCTGAATTTCCTTATAAACGCACTTTGTTTTAATTATTGTCAAAAACTTTCAAAAGAAAAAAATAATGGATTTTTGTAGACTTGTTTTAAAAAAATGTAATGGCGTTTTTTTTTGTAGACTATTTCCTAAAAAAAGAAATACAAAGAAAATGTATTGACATTATTCTTATATTGTTTTATAAAGAAATATTAATTTGTTTATTATTTTATTAAAAATATTGAGGGCATTTTTTTTCTTCATTTGGAAGAAAGTTTCGAAGAATAACAGCTCACATTTTTTTTTTTAAATATTGAAAGGGAAAAAAACATTTTCTACGGATATTTCCCTGTTGACATATTTGTAAGAGTTCTAAAAATGATAGTAAGCTGTTTTGCACTTCTTTTTCTTTTAATCTAACTTTTTTTTCTTTAATTAGACGACAACGGCAAATTACCTTTTTCATTCTCTTTCCTGTTTCTATTTAATAAAACATTCTGATAACACGTCTGACGTGACAAAAATAAACATAAAGTTACGTTCCACGTAACATAAAAGTTTGCTGTGCCTAGCGTAACGTCCGGACGGACCGCTGAAACGCGTTAACCTAACCCCCTCCCCCTCTCTGTCTCGTCCGTAAACACTGAAAAGCGATAACATTTCTCCTAGGAGCCGTTTTTGTGGATGTTGTTTTAGCGACTGCGCCGAATTATTATTAGTTGTGCCAATGCTTTTTAGTAAGAGATATGGCCCACGAACGTGGAAACACCGTCTTCTCCTTGACAGACCCCCGAGAAGGAGATTGGACACTTGGAATCTTAATAAGTGCTGAGGTGGTCACCGGCCAAATGATCCTCTTCAACATGTAGGCTATATAAGGCTCTGGAGCAGTTAACGGGACTCGATTCTGTTGTTCAGTGCTTCATGGTCCTTCGCCTAGAACTCGAGGTGCGTCCTTCGGCCAGGCTGTGGGAGATAACTACTCTTTTAGGACTACATGGGCTCTTTGGTTGTCAAGGACGGACACCTGCACGTGGTAGAGGGTGGCAGACCAACCTGGCGTCATTTTGGGGAGGTTTGTGACTCTGTGACAAAGTCGGGACTGGAACGCTGGCAAGAACCGCCCAAACGACTGCAGAGACAAACGCGGAAACAGCAAATAGCACCTGGCTAGGGCTTTTCGAAGTGCGAAGGCGCTGAACGGTACACGGCCGGGTGTGCTAGTGGCATTAACGGCCGATCTTTCGAACTTTATGTGATTATATGGAAAATGTTGCAATATGGTATAGACGCTTTGCAGTAACTGTGCCTCTGGGCTGCCATAACCGACCTTCAGTTTTTGTTTCTTCTTATTACATTTACCTCATCATAACCACAGCAGGGCAGGTTATTGCTATTTTAGGTTCTACTGCGTCCTTCTCCCCAGCATTGGCCTCTGTGCAGGCTTGTCAACGCCCGCTTCAATGGCATATGGGAAAGAGAAGGTCAGCAATGGCGGATGTAATTTGACGCGTGTGTAAAGCGTACATATAGAGATTCCTTCTGTAATGCTAGTCTGTAAAATTTTGTAAATAAATGTTATTGTTAAGAAAAAAGAAGTTGAGTCCTTTATGGTGTTTGTGTTCGTTTCTAATGTGTATGTACCACATGGACTCTATTTCCTAACAAAATCCAAAATAGCTATAAAAAAAAATCGAGTGTCGTTTTTTACGTTAATTCGCGGTTCCGTCAAAAAAGAATTCGAACTAAAAAAAAGTTCAATACGATTCCAGAAAATTTTCAACGGATATTCAAAAGAATGTAACTACAGATTTGTGTAAGGGTAACATGGTTTCTCACCTTGTGGCAAGTGTTGGAGGAAACTCGGATGGCCCATTCTTCGCGCGGAAAGTTACCAACCGGTATTTTTCCCGTTTCCAGTCGGTGTACTGGCACAGTAGTCTAGTCGAAAGCAGGACTTGGACGTTCACTCTCTTGCACAGTGTCCGAGAGCAGGTCACGGCCAGCGCGAGCATATCGGTGCCGTCCGGCGTTGAAAGGACCAAAGGGGAGTCCGCGCCGCTATCGAAAGTCGGGCCCAAGGTCGCATGCTCGCTTGACGATCTCAGCCCTTCATTGGCCGTCCAATAGAAATCGCTCCGGTTGCCGACGGCTCAGACCACTCCGTTCATGTTCGTTTTGCGTTCTTTCGAGGCAGTCGTTGCGCAGACGCTTCTTCGGAATTACGTTCATCATTCGACTGAATGATGTTAAAATTAATAGTAGCGGCTTCTTCATACTGGAGGGCTTAGCGGA